AAACGCGGGTCACCGAATGTTCTCGTTTGGCGAAATTTTTTTACATCGAGGAAACGGCGGGGTCAAGGTTCGCGCCACACCCAAAAAAATCAAGATATTCGTCAAGATAGAGAATAATGTGATTCAAAATTTGTATCATCTTGCAGGAGATCGGGAAGACGAAATTTATAAATTACAAAAGGAACAAATTCACAAATTGACATTTCTACACGTGAGAAACAATGTAGGAAGTCTACATTTTACGGTTCAATAAATCTGTATAATTTTATATAGAATGACCAGTAAAAAAATATTGTGATACAAGCACTGAGATAATCCCTCGTGAAAAGGCGAGTAAAACTATCGAACAAGATTTTTCCATTAGTTGCACTGCGCTTTCGGAAAAAAATAATTCTGTATATACATATATGATAAAAAAACACAATAATCTCAACAAAAGATAAAATCTTTTTCTAATTCAAGGAAATATAAATTGTTTCCCGTAATTTTTTTATGCTAAAAATAAATCTTCAAAATATACTACATATATCAATTCACGTGATTTTAAATTTCAAAATTGAGTTTTAATCAAACATTTTTCAATTGTTATCTATCTTATATAAGAGCTACTTAGATAATTGAATATAAATATAATATTAAAAATGTTTAACATAAGGAAATCAATATGACGGGTATATAAAAAGTTTTTTAGTATCCTTGCAAATAGCGTAGAGATTTTTCAAATTTCCAATTAGGAAACTTACGTTAAAATTGCTGATATGACGGTTATAATATTAAATAAGTTATAATTATAATTTTTTGCCGTGTAATAAACCCAACACTTGATCATGAGAAAATCTTATTAACTTTCATCTTTTCGACAAATTTCTTTTAAGTGTTGAAATTTTTAATAATACACGTGTAAGTTTGGGCGTAAAACAAAACTTTTTTACTGTTATATATCCTTATAATATGACGAATTACATTTAAAAAATAACTTTTTAATTAGCTTTATATTTTTTCAAAATTGTCCAACATAAATTTAATATAAAATTATCATTTTCTTAGAATATTTTTTTAAAACTATTTTTCACATAAAATTTCTATAGATAATATTATGAAACATATATAAGCATAATTTCAATATGATTACATCTTTCCATAATAATCACATGTTTCCATAATGAAATATATTTCCATAGTGATCATATAATTTCATACAACACATGTGCTTGAACATGCAACACTTGAAAAAATATGAATTGCACTTGTACATCTAACAGACTCATCATATTAATATAAGTACAAGCAATTAGGTAAAATCTTTTTCTATAAAAACAAATCAATAATTTTGAACAGGAAAAATGATCTCTATTTTATCGATTCTGTTGAATTGCGAGGCACGTTGAGAGTTTCATGTATCTTGATCCTGAACGCGAGCGAGACAAATATCGAAATACTCCGAACCGAAGACAAACGTCATGACGAATCGACTTCGCTTACCGGTAATGCGTATCCACCGATGCGATATCCCAGACATGTTCCACGGTCGTCCCTCAGTAATATTGCAAACGATCGGGAATGCGGCTCGCGTCGCGCGATTCGCGATTCACGATTCACCGTCACCGGGAGAGTTGAATGCACTCGGACTCTCTTCTCGCTCTCAGCTCCAATCGCTTCTTGCCGAGCCGACAGCCGACCGTACACTGGGCTGTACTTACCTGCGCTCACCTGGCTAGCGTATCCTGCTAGCGGGCAGATGAGAGGATTCCTATTCCTTCCGGGTTCTGCGCGATCGCTCTTCTCTCGGCTCTTCTTCCCCTCGATTGTTTCGCTCGTCACTCATCATTCGGCTTGTCATGCTTTAACACTTAGTAGTAAGTCATCTGGCGGTCTTTATAGCCGATTCTCGCAGGTGTAACAGTTTATCTCGAGTACTTTTACATATTCGATTCTTATAGTCCGCTCCTCTATATAATCGAGCGAGCGTCGACTGACTTCAATCTCTATTCAAGTAAAATCTAATATTGACTCAGGAACGGGATTTTGCCTTACCAATTATTCTCCCTTCTCGCCAAAATTTATTTTGTCAAAAAAAGAGAGAAACTTTATATTCATTCGAGTCAAGTATTCGAGCCTTGGCAGGAAAAATGCTTTTCAACTCGACCAAAGAATAGAAAAAGGGATACTATTTCGAGATATATCCTGTATAAAGCAAATTTATCTGCCAGGTGCAAACTTGCACGTTACAGACGTAATCAAGCGAGATCAAATCGATTCATATCAAAAATCACTATCAAACGACGTAAATGTCCAAAGTGGCCGGGCGAAAGCGAAAGGGATACGGACTAGCCGTATCTTTTTGCAAGCTAAAGGATCGCGCTAAAAGATATAAGGAAAACGCACACGTATGACGAGATACGGAGACTAGTTCTGTCGAGGCGACATGCAAAAATTAAATAAATGTGTTACCTTTTCGATACACACACATATTATATGTATAGCGGCTCGGAAAACGGGTTCGCATAAACTACAAAACACGCCGTCCTTGCACGCATTTTCATGCAAAACACGTAACCACATACCAGTAATCAAAGATAGACAAGATACACAAGAAACCGTATTGTACGCAAAATTCGCATGCAAAACGGATCGTTTTAACGGTAAATTTATCTTTACAGATTGTCACACTCGCGAAAAATATTACGAACAAAGTACAGGTCGAACAAAGCTACACTAGAACAAAATTTGTTAACTCGATTAAACCTTTTAACTAAATATTATCTTGTTAATATTGAACATATATTAGTATTTAAATCAAATATACATTTTGTTCAATTTAATATGTTACATTTTATTTAAATATTTTTATATGTTTAATTAACAAACTAATATTTAGTTGAAAGGTTTAATGAAGTTAACAAATTTTTTTTAATGTAGCTTTGTTCGACTTATATACTAAATGTCTTGCCAATTTTGACAATTCAATATTATTGTTGCAAAGTTTTGTAAAAAAATTAATTGTTTAAATGTCTACATTACATTAATATAATCCGTAGATTTAGTAATTTGTCCTTATATCAAAGCAAGTTTCCAAAAATGTTACTTTATTAATTTAATTTTACACGAAACTCCAATTTTCTACTTGTTTTGTAAATAAGGATTGAAACTCGTTCTATTAAATTGATGCAAAGTTTATTGAAAAGTTTGTCGTTTATTATTAAGTTTAAATGCATTCTCCAGCACTTACAAATCACTACACAGAGATAATTTTCTCTTAGAGTTTATCCTGAAAATCATGGTAATCGTGAGACAATATGATATTAAAAGACTTTTACAAGAATTTCTCTGATTAATATTTATCACAATAAACAATATTAATATCTACCACAATAAGATATAAAATATGTTCGATTAATTTTACTAAAATATATAGTTTCAATAATTTTGAAATATATTTAAAAACTTATATTAAAATTTTAATAATTCTTTAAGTGTTTTAAATCCAGTTTAATCGCTCATAATAATTTTAACATACAGCATCATAATTTTCGACTTATTATCAAACATGATAAAATTTGTAATAAATTTTGCAGTAGAACATAATGAAAAATTCTCTCCGTGTAGATTATGATTAATGAAATTTGCAATGCAACAATAAACCGGATCAATTTTCTTCATTTGCCGAGTGAAAGTAATGTATCGAAAATCGATCACGACAAAACGAAATGTAACGAAACACACGAACTGAATTGACTTAGGAATCTCGCGACTTATTCTCGTCACCTATAGCGTAGAATAACAATGCGACTTTTACGTGGAAACTAGGTTGAAGAAAAAAGAATGTGTGCAAGTTTGAGAGCATCGAAAGAAACAATGCTGCGTTGAACTTTTTTCGCATGATATTTATCTTTCCGAGCTAATTAAGCGAGCTATACCTTTACCTATTAGCTCTGAAGCTCATTGAAAACCATTCGATAAGTCAAATGTTTGCTGTCTTCTTATAATTGATTTTACGATGTAATTGGAAGAAATATCAGAAAGAATATCAACTAATAATAACTCATCCAAACACGATTATCAAACCAACATTTTAAAAAAAGATAGTCATATATTTTCATTTTTGTAAAATTAGAGATAATTAATTGTTGTGGATTTTTTTAAACTTTTATATACACGTAGATTTATGTACGCACAATTTATAGAAAATATAAAATAACTGCGAAAGTGACTATCCTTTTTAATTTCAAAATCTCTCTCTTTTTCTCTTTCTCTTAACCTTTTTAAAAATTAAAATCAAGACTTATAATAATAAAAATCACTGTAATACAATTTATATAATAAATGTACTATAAAACCTTATTTAATATTGATTATATAAAATTATGATAAAATTAGAATCATATATATTTTCAAGATTGTAATTCTAAATTATTTCTTTAAAAGAAAAGATAAAAGAAAAGTATCATATACAAGAAGTTATGTTATATTGGCAAAATCCTGAATTAAAAATGCTATATATTTGTCAATTTTTTAATTCATAGCAAACATTTTCAAAGATATTGAAACAATAATGATTTAATAAATAAATATATATATATATATATATATGTGTGTGTGTGTGTGTGTGTGTATGTATGTGTTTATATACACATATATACGTCGACGCCAAATATATAAGGTTAAAAAATTATGTTATTTACCGTATTATTAGAAATGTTTTTGCAGCAATTCTCATACACACTCGTACACAGACTTTTCCTCGCATGAATAAACAGCAACCTCACACATTTGTTACATAATTAGTACTGTGAAATTACATTTATTATTCGTATTACGATTTTTCTTGCTGTTTCTTATTTCACTCGCGATACTTCTAATGAGGGAGCGTTAATGCGCGCGAAAACGTCACGTGATTTAAGTCACGTGACTTTATAAAGTCACGTGACTTTTTCGCGCGTATTCTGATCTTCTGTTGATAAGTCGATTCGTTCTCTTATCTTCTACTGTAAAGTATAATCGCGTCAAATGTCAGAATTATTTTTCTTTTATACAATCTAATACATATATATATTAAATACTTTTCCGCATCTTATCTATTCGTCTTATCGCTAAATAGCGCAATCAGGTGAAATGTGACAGTTCTGTCAAACACGAGGGAGTGGGAAATGTGCAATTAGAAATCAGATGATAGACGATATATATACATTAACGCGAAATGCTCGATAAATTTAACGAAGAATTGGGGAATTACCGATATTCTGTCATATAATGTAATGGTAAATTTGGGACAAAAGTGATATCTCGTATAATTCGCAGGAGAACTCGACCACGTGTATTAATTTATTTGTTTAGATGTGTTTTCGATCGAACGTATGTAAACACAAAATGTAGGATCACTTAACCTCCAATTTAAATACACTTGACAATCGATAGAAGTAAGACAGATCTAATAAAGATTTGTAAAGCTTAAGATTGTTAAGCTAAAAAAGTGCAAAAAAAAAATAAATTACAATCTCGTTCCAATATTATACGAAAAGCATTACGATCGACACGATGAACGAGAACCTGGAGAACGTTACCCCGGAATCGTACTATGCTTTGTTAGTCGCTTTTGAAACAATGAAGGAACGTTGTCAGCGACTGCAGACGCGGCTGGTAGCTGCGGAGAAAGAGAACATGCGTCTTAAACTCGAATGTAGCAGGAACTCGTCGACAGCTGTCGTCAAAGCAAATAACAGCAGTGACGAGTCTACGCTGCAGGTCTGTGCAAAATTTGAAACAATTGAATAAACTATTTCCTTGGACTATGTTTAAATCCATATTTAAAACTAGATGGAGATTGCATAAGTCAAAACAAAAATTTTATAGCTCTGTAATGCATCTTTATTTGTTTCGCATATGTGGATTTAAAATTATGGATTACATCTTGAAATTTTTCCTTACTAATTAATCTATATCTTATTACTTTTCCTTACTTACTTTATCTATATAATTAAAGATACAATAGAATTATTGACATTGGGATATTGCTAAGAATATGCATATACAATGAAAATAATTTTAAAAATATGTTTAAAATATATCTAGCAGTATTTTGTAGTCCAAAATATTCAAATACCTATTTCAATGCAAATAATACAATTTTTTGGATTACAGGAAAAGATTGAGGAACTTACAAAACAAAAGTTGCAGCTATCTGATCATATGTTCATGGTAGCAGCAGAAAATCGTCAGTTATGGAATAGATTAACAAGGTTGACGAAGACTAATAAATCTCTAGGTAGTCAGTTGAATAAAATTTCAGATACACTTAAGCAGTATTCTCCTATGCAACCATCTGATATTACATGCAACATTCGTGATGCGTCTAGTTCAGATAATAATAAGAAATATTTACTAATGGATGGTTTGTATAAATATTAAAATATATTATACATTATCCATATATTAACCCTAAAGTACTATTATTCAAAACTATTATGTAATAACATATTATTTATATGTAAAATTTATGCATTATTGTTTAGGTGAGAAGGAACAAAGTTTGGAAGAAATATCTCTACGACTGATAAATAGTATTATGCTAGAAAAATCTGATCTTGAACAGCAATATGCCGAGGTAAGAAGGTAAAAATACTGTGATCAATTAATATATTTTATGCAATATTTGTCGTTTTATGCAGATGGTGGAGTTACAGAATAATTCGGAATTAAATTTACAAAAAATTGGTTTTACGTATCCAGAAGATTCTGATACAGATTCAGAACTGAAACAGCTTGAAATTCGATTGTCCCAAACTAAAGATGCCTTACTTGGACAGCAAACTAGATTAAAAAGGACCTTGCAGAACCTTAAAAAAATGAGAAAAGGTAAGATAAATTCAGTATTAAAACTAGTTCAGTAATCAGGATCCATCTCATCATTGTAAATATATTTATTTATGATTATTTTTCATTTTTTTATCATTGTAGTACAAGTTAGAATAATACAAAAAAATAATTTATAAATTTGTCAAGACTTATCTTATTGCCAAATATGTATACTTTCAGGCACAACATGTAATAATTGTCGAGAAAATGCAAATAAAAAAATGTGTCAAACGGGTACACAATTTGATTCCAATGATAGCTTCAAGGAGCATGGAGCTACTCAAACTAGTCTTATGACGCCTAGTATTTCTATAGAAAAATATTCTAACTTAAATGATAATCTAGATATAGCCAATACATGTCCATTATGTGGTACTGTTTATGGAAAATCCAAATCATTTACAGAATTTCATGAACATGTCTTAAATCATTTTACAAAGGATGTATCTACGAGTGACGATTTTGAACTTGTACATTGACTTTAGTATATAAATCGACATAAATTCATTATATATTAATTTGTTTTCTTCAGATGTCAACATGTATAAAAAAATATGGTGGTTGAGATAAAAAAATATTAGTATAAGTAAAATATGTATGATCTGACATTATAAATGCAACATAGAAACCGATGAAACAAAGGATGATCTTTGTATTGCAATATAGAACTATTTATTTTTATATCAATAAATACAATTTTAAATTGCAAAATTGGAATCTTTTATTTTCAAATAAGAAATAGTAAATGTAAATATTTATGTAATAAAAACACCATTTATGATGTTTTATTTTGTATAAATATGATTTATATTCGTCAATGAAATATAAAATAAGATTCTAATTTCTGAAAATGCCAGATATTCAACTATTTTGATACAAAGTCCGACTTTCAAATGTAACAGTTAATAAGCATGATTTTAAGTATATATACCTTATGCAAGATGTGTAGGTTTAACATCCTTCTCGTCTGATGGCTCCTGCGTTGTAGGCTCAAGTAAATTTCGATGAAACCACGAAGGTCTTTTCTTTGGTATTTCGACTACTCTTTGATTCTAAATTAAAGTTAATTTTTATTAGTTGCAAGAAACTATGAATTATATATTATACAAATATATTTTAAATACCTTCCAAAATTCATGTGTTTTATCATCTTTTTCTCCATCATATAATACAATTACATTTTTCTCTACTGGACTTAAACCCAATTCTTTTTTTATGGCATCTCTTATTTCGCTAGTTTCAAGTTTTACTTTTTCATAGCAGTGTCCTACAGCAAAAGAATATATCATTAAAAGTTCATTTATTTACAAGTATTTATTTTAAATTATAATTTTCATATTCAACATCCTCAAGAATATCTGTTTTTTTTTTAATGTTTCTTTAAATTTATCTTATTATTACAATTATTATTTTATATTATTATTACTGATTAAAATTACCACATAAACGACCGGCTTCGTAATTGTGACCACAATTTGGACACATTAATATATCAGTTCTCGGAACAGGTGGCTTCCAGCCATATTTTTCACCTCCAAATCTCCTGTTAAGTCTCTTTTCTATAGTACGTCGTTTTTTTGGAACAGCCCATAGAATACCATCCTTGAGAATTTCTTCTAGAGAGCGATTATTAGGACGGTTAGCCAGTTTTGCATCATTTAGGAAACTGTTATTGTAGTCAATTGCACATAATCCTGCACAGAAAATTTAAAAACTTTCTTGTAAATACATTTCAAAATATATATCATAAAAAATATATCTACATTTTTCAATAGATTTTAAAGATTTAAATCAATTTACTCAACTTTTCTTAATATTTCGTAAACATATAAGAAAAGTTGACAGCACCAAACAAAATCTTTGCTTGAGGTTACAAAACATGACAAGTTTAAATAGTCATTCAAATTATTTTTCCCAACTTTTCACATATCAAATATAGAAATGTTCGATTTACCTGGAGGAAATCCACGGCCAAAAATTGTTTGAAAAATTGTTTGTTCAAATCTTTGAAAAGCCAAACATAACCTATTTATTATGCCGCCTGTCATTTTAAAATTGATACGCGTCGTAAAAATCGTTCAGTGTTAAATACAGTCGCGAAAATGAATAATAATTATTTGTAAATACTTTTACAAAACTTTTACAAATATCAAAATTAGTTTTTCGAGATTAAACAAATCATTCACTAATAAATCTTAACTCGCACATGGTTGAAGCTCGGCACTTTTAGATAGAGCGCGTTCATATCTAGATATTTGTGCATCATGACTGTTTACTAAAAAAAATTCAAAATTATTTCTTTATTATTTCTAATAAATATATTAACAGATGATTTATTTTTTAAATTTAATTAATATTTTTCTCCATTGTCCAAAAAGAATCGGAATAAAGTGTGTAAATTTTTCCAGAGTTGGGAAGTAACGATGTTACTTGTAACGAAGTTACAGTTACAATTACTTTTTTCGGTAACTATAACTTAACTTCGTTACTTTTCTCCATCTGTAACTGTAACTGTAACTTACAAGAGAAGTTCGGCAAGTGTAAAATTCAAAAAAATCTGAAACTTTGTATAAGTTTAGAGTAGATGAACCTAATCACGAAACAATTTTTTTTAGCTGCTGATATTCGGTTTTAGGGGTGCAGCATCCCCTTAAATAAAATCGGTGTTTACGTTTTCAAGCGAATATCGCCGAAATAATGAGAAATATAAAAAAATGTTTCCAGCAAAAGTTTTATGGTTTCGAAAGCTCTTTATAATGGCATGATCATATTTTGCAAAAATGTTTAATTTTTCAAAATACCCCCACCACGTATCTTTTTTTTTTCATATTTAAATTTTTCTTGCAACTAAAATTAAAGTTTATTTCACGCCAAATTCAACCATATATAATAAAATTGCGATCCGTAAACGTGTTTTGAGAAATAAACTACGTACAGCTTGAGGTTCCGATGGATCATCAAAATCAAGTCCCAATCATATTCAATCGTAATATCGTCTTTTAGAGAATCCCTTATTAAATTTGAAATTGCATCGTGGAGTTCTACTTCACGATGATTAACAGGAGTGACAGCGAGATTTGCAATGTGAAACGTTGTAATTAACAAATTTATAACGTTCGCCGTATTTATGGCCAACATTTTGACATAAATGCTTGAATAAATGTTATATGAAACTTTCCCACAGAAAGTATCACACGTACAATATATTAAATAACATGAATGAAATGCAGAAGCGGATGGCTTTTATACTAATTGTATAAGGAAAACGAACATTAAAGATAGCCTTCCCATAACCTTCCCTTTTATTGCATCACATCAATCTCGATAATCCTTCAACCTTTCAACTTCAAAGTTGATAACGTTCTCATAAATATAATGACGTACATAACAGGAAATATTACATATACGTTAGTGCAACCGTGTTTATTTCATTCTAGACGATAATCTTTAATTTTTTTTACCAAAGGTCTAAATCAGAAATTACTTTATCGATAACTTTGATTTTTCTCTTACGATATATTTTGACTACTATATTATTTATAAAATGTGTAATATACAAAAATCAGTTACGTGATTAGATTTATTACGAATATCTGTTTCATCGTTATCTTGTATTGCGAAAAATTACAGAGAGAAGGGGAGAAAGAGAAGTCGTAGCCAAAATTAGCGGGCCGATAAAATTGACAGCATACCCTGTAAGGATGTTTTCAGTTTATTTCTCAAAAACACGTTTACGGATCGCAACTTTATTATATATGGTTGAATTTGGCGTGAAATAAACTTTAATTTTAGTTGCAAGAAAAATTTAAATATGAAAAAAAAAGATACGTGGTGGGGGTATTTTGAAAAATTAAACATTTTTGCAAAATATGATCATGCCATTATAAAGAGCTTTCGAAACCATAAAACTTTTGCTGGAAACATTTTTTTTATATTTCTCATTATTTCGGCGATATTCGCTTGAAAACGTAAACACCGATTTTATTTAAGGGGATGCTGCACCCCTAAAACCGAATATCAGCAGCTAAAAAAAATTGTTTCGTGATTAGGTTCATCTACTCTAAACTTATACAAAGTTTCAGATTTTTTTGAATTTTACACTTGCCGAACTTCCCTTAATTGTAGTTACATTTTTTAGTAACTAGTAACTATTTTAATAGTTACTTATTAGTTATTTTTTTGGAAACATGCGCTAAAAGTATTGTT